CCTTTGTTCTTGTTATCATTCTGAAACCTTACCTTGCTGGTTTAGATGAGTTATATGTGCTTTGTTATTGTTATGAAACCTTACCTTGCTGGTTTAGGTGAGTCATATGTTCTTTGTTCTTGTTCTCTTTATGAAATTTTACCTTGCTGGTTTAGATGAGTTATATGTGCTTTGTTATTGTTATGAAACCTTACCTTGCTGGTTTAGGTGAGTCATATGTCCTTTATTTTTGTTATCCTTATGAAATCTTATCTTACTAGTCTATGTGAGTCGTATGTCTTTTGTTCTTGTTATATTTATTAAATCTTCTCTTACTGGTCCGGGTGAGTCATATGTTTTTTGTTCTTGTTATCTTTATGAAATCTTGTCTTACTGGTTTAGGTGAGTCATATGTCACTTGTTCTTGTTATCTTTATGAAATCTTGTCTTACTGGCTTAGGTGAGTCATATGTCCTTTGTTCTTGTTATCTTTATGAAATCTTGTCTTACTGGTTTAGGTGAGTCATATGTCACTTGTTATTGTTATTTTTATGCAATTTTACATTGCTGGTTTAGGTGAGTCATATGTCACTTGTTATTGTTATTTTTATGCAATTTTACATTGCTGGTTTAGGTGAGTCATATGTCACTTGTTCTTGTTATCTTTATGAAATCTTGTCTTACTGATTTAGGTGAGTCATATGTCACTTGTTATTGTTCTCTTTATGAAATCTTACCTTAATAGTTTAGATGAGTTAAATGTCCTTTGTTCTTGTTATCTTTATGAAATCTTATCTTACTGGTTTAGGTGAGTCATATGTCACTTGTTATTGTTATTTTTATGCAATTTTACCTTACTAGTCTAGGTGAGTCACATGTCCTTTGTTCATGTTATCTTTATGAAATCTTATCTTAGTGCTTTAGGTGAGTCATATGTCCTTTGTTGTTGTTATCTTTATGAAATCTTACCTTGCTGTTTAGGTGAGTCATATGTCCTTTGTTATTGTTCTCTTCTTCAAATCTTACCTTACTAGTCTAGGTGAGTCATATGTCCTTTGTTCTTGTTATCATTATGAAACCTTACCTTGCTGGTTTAAGTGAGTCATATGTCCTTTGTTCTTGTTATGAAATCTTACCTTGCTGGTTTAGGTGAGTGATATGTCCTGTGTTATTTTTCTCTTTATGAAATCATACCTTACTAGTCTTGGTGAGTCATATGTCCTTTGTTATTGTTCTCTTCTTCAAATCTTATCTTGTTGATCTAGATAAGCTATGTGCATTTCCTTCTTTTTCTGTTCCTGAAAGCCTATCTTTCCTCATGATTTTGGTAAATTGTATCCATTTTCTTTCTGTACTTGAAAGTATAACTCTGGGTATTAGGTAAGTCATATGTGTTCTCTTATCTTTTGTAACTTGAGAACTTTTAGTCTGATGATCTAAGTGAACTGTTTCTTCGCTCTCTCTTTTTCAGCTTGAGTTGATTTATTCTTGCAATCATAATGAATTAAATGTTTTTTTTCCAACTTGACAACTTACCTTGATTATTTAGATAGAATGTGTCTACTGTGATATTCAATGTAAAATTTTTTCTGTCCTCTAATTCTCAGTGTGACACGTTCAGATGTTTTAGGTTAGAAGCTTTCTTTATTCTCTTTCTCCATGTAAAAATAATGAACTAGGTAATATTCTTAAAGTACAACATCTTTTAATAACCTTTATAGACAGTAACCTTGATATCTGAATCCTAATCAGTATTGGGTCTGGGAAGAAAAGAACTTAAACTTAAAATTAGAACTCAATGCATCTTGCATTAGCAAAATTAAGTAAACTTTTTATGTTATGATTGAACTTTTAGTTTTCTCATTATTCTTCTTTTCTTATGTAGTCCCCAATGAGACACATAAAGGACCTGGTTTCGTTACTTTTCCAAAGTCTGTGACTGTTGTTGAAAACATGCCTGCAACATTCAAGTGTGAAACTGAGAAAGATGCTCTCACTGGTATATTTTGATTTTATTTTTTCTGAAATCTTTATACTTTTCTTTGATAAGATAATTTACTTTAAAAGTAAAACCTCAATTAAATACTGTTCAGCACAATTCTTGGATTATATCTGTATACAAATATTTAATCTTTTTTTTGTCTTCTCCTAGTTCGTTGGCTGAAAGATGGTAAACCTTTGAAAGAGACTAGCACTCGACACCAGTTTATTCAAGATGGCCGGATGTTTAAACTCAACATCCCATCAACATTAGTGACAGATATAGGACAGTATACAGCTGTGGCTGTTGATAGTACAGGCGACTGTAGTGCTACCTTCTCCTTGAATGTCTTGACAGAAGCTGACCTTTAAGTAAAGATTGTGATATTCTAAGGTGAGCTATTTCTAACCGTGTAGTTTTTTTATTCATTTTCAAGCAAATTGGCCAAGGCTACATTTGCTTGAATAAGCTGGGGTTATCAAGGATATGTCATCAGTCTAACAGGCTTTTGCTTCATTCAGCATATTAATGTGGAGATAACAAGCTGCTGTTTCATTTTACCACAACACGGAATAAGGACTTTGTAGTAGTCTTATTAGTTACTTTTGTATCTTTAAATAATATATCTCCTGATGTTCAGAGAACACTGTACAAACATTCAGAGCTCATAAATGTAACTAAAGAAATATTGCATTTTCGTTGTGATGTGATATTTTTGAGTCAAGTTCAAGTTATCTTTGTATAGGCTGATTTCATGCTATTATAAGATGCTTTATGAATGTAAAAGCATGTTATAATGTAACAAACTTACAAAGCATGTTATAATGTAAGTTATAATGTAACAAACTTACAAAGCATGTTATAATGTAACAAACTTACAAAGTTTGTTACTTTATAACATGCTTTATGAGTTTGTTACATTATAACATGCTTTGTACGTTTGTTACATTATAACATGCTTTGTAAGTTTGTTACATTATAACATGCTTTGTAAGTTTGTTACTTTATAACATGCTTTGTAAGTTTGTTACTTTATAACATGCTTTATGAGTTTGTTACATTATAACATGCTTTGTAACTTTGTTACATTATAACATGCTTTATACGTTTGTTACATTATAACATGCTTTGTAAGTTTGTTACATTATAACATGCTTTGTAACTTTGTTACAGTATAACATGCTTTATACGTTTGTTACATTATAACATGCTTTGTAAGTTTGTTACTTTATAACATGCTTTGTAAATTTGTTACTTTATAACATGCTTTGTAAGTTTGTTACTATTATAACATGCTTTATAAATTTGTTACTTTATAACATTCTTTATGAACTTGTTACATTATAACATGGTTTGTAAGTTTGTTACTTTATAACATGCTTTGTAAGTTTGTTACATTATAACCTGCTTTGTAAGTTTGTTACATTATAACATGCTTCATGAATTTGTTACATTATAACATGCTTTGTAAGTTTTTTACATTATAACCTGCTTTGTAACTTTGTTACATTATAACATGCTTCATGAATTTGTTACATTTCAAGATTCCTTATGAATGAATTACATTATAAGATGCTTTATAAGATTATCATTGTAGTTTAATATATAAATTTTTCTTGATTGTTTATAAAATTTCTCTCAGAGTCATAACTTGTATTCAAATGTGTAAGTTTTATAACTCTGCAATTGTTTTTAAAGATTAATCAGCAAGCATCATTTCAGTCCTGAAAAATTTTATTCAATTTCAACGTTATGAGTGATTTTCGTTTCTCCTTATCTTGGATCTCTGGATAATTGTCTCTAGAGAGATAAATTGCTCATTAACTAATGTACACGTTTATTCTATTGTATCTTGTAGATTTATGACCACACGAACTCTGCTATCGAAAATTGACAACTCTACGGTCTTCGACTAACAACGAACGATTTTATCATAAGGACTTCATCATGCTACTACTAAGTTGTTTTTGTGAAAAAACTTGAGTTTTTTGGGTTCATTTATCTAAATTGTAGTGAATTTGTTCACCAATGTACTTAAACCATTGTAAAAATATGTGTGCAGTTTTTCCCCTGCTTGTATGTATGTAATTGTAAACACTAGAGAATATATGCTAAATTGTATGAAGAAACGTGAACACTTTTCACTATTAATAGACAGAAATGTTCATTATTTAACAAAAGTTTTAAAGTTATTTAAATACTGAAGGTGGTGATTGTTTAGTTCAAGTTCATTCATGATATGATTGAAAATTTTCTATAGTAAGAAAGTGAAATTATACAACACTGGTTAACTTCTTTAATTTGTGTGGCATTTCTTCAAGCATTTTGTTTTCAACCCTCAGTGTGTTTGTTATTTATTTCCTTTTGCTGTTTTCTTTGGTGTTTAATTATAAGAAAATGACCTATTGAACTTTGAACTCTTTGGGACAGTCACCAGCTGTTGTTGATTACTTGAACAGAATTTAAAGAGTGTTAAAAAAAAAACATTTAAAAATGTGACAGTCGTGAAGATTTCAAAACTCTAGTTTGTGAATCTTAACTTATGCAGTTAAAACAATCAGTACTTTGTAGACTTTGTAGTGTGATACTGGCTGAAATGAATAAAGCACAATAGTTTAAAAAAATTAATAACCGTTTCTTGTGCATCCAAGCTATGCAAGAAAATATCACGATCAATGTATAATTTTAGGACCGTTTGGTCCATGTGATCCCATCATTTTTTCAACAGTTCCTGCACTTAATTTCTTGTGGTTCTATCACTTTGTTGGTCACAGGTCCATTAACTACACGTAAGTCACATACAAAAATACAGCCAATATTACATCTAATTCCACTAATTACTACTGGGGTCTTTTAAGTGTTTTACATAGTAACTGAGTGGTTTAATTGAAGATTTTTTTACCATTTCTTTACCCTGACTGTTTTAACGAGCAAACAAGATAAAATAACTCAATGTGATGCAGCATATGGACCCAACCGGCATTGAACATTGTGTAAATAAATCGGTAACGATCGGACAACAAATTCAAACGTAAATGTCCTCAGACATATAAGTCTAATTAAACTACAATTTTCATGTGTTTGAATGTGTAATTCTAAATCGAGAAGATGTTTTCTAGTAAACTGTGTCGTTTAGTTATAATAAAAAAAAACTCGCTAATGAGTATGTTTGGAAACTTATTTTTGTATATTTTAAAATATAGCCTCTTGTAGCTCGTTTAAAATAGTTAAGACACATAGTTCAGAAAACTTATGATAGCTAAGAAAATGAAGATACTCGGGGTTAAAAGCTTGTGTTCTTGTCTAACGCTAATAGGATAAGTTGCGAGTATAAACCCCTAGGTGGCGCTTAACACAATGTTTAACTACACAGAGAATTTATAACTGAAATTGGGCTACAATGTCAACTTAAAATTAATAAGAAAAGCAGATATTTTATGACGTGCAGACAATAAGTTTTTAGCCTCTGCTTTCGAATCTTGTGTCATCAATACAAGGCGTGGACCTTTTAAAACGGAAGTTCTATGATGTACATCCGGTCACCCCTGTACATTTCATTGTCTGTCTGCATAGGTAGATAAAAATGCCATCCTCCTAAAACTATAGAAACATTTAGACTGCTGTTACTGTATGTCGGGAAGACGTGGTGTTCATTATATGAAAATCAACAGGAAATTAACAATGACGAATTCCGTTCATAGTTTTCACACCATGAGTCACTTTTCCCGTCAACCCCAAGTTTTCTTGTATTCATGTAACAGTTATAAGCAATTGGTCGGGTCATTAAAACCTTATTTTCAAGGTGGTAATAAATATCTAAGTACAGAATTGAGGAAAACAAAGATAATTGTACGTTTCACAAATATTTGATTTATTACAACCATGGTTTCGTCAGTAAATGCATCATCACTGGTGAAACCGTGGTTATAATGAACGAAATATTTGTGAAACATACAATTGTCTTTGTTTTCTTCAATTCTGTAACTACGGTTTCAAGTATTTATTATATTATCTTAGAAGGTCGAAGTCATGAGGAATTTAGAATGTTATTGTATATGATCCTGATTAAACTAAAAATGTCGTTAAAATATCACATACTGGATGCTATTAATGTTGTGTTAGTACAAACAAAACGTTCGCATTTCTGCGCTATATAAGGAATTGCGTACAAAATTATGCTACACACGTGATATTGATTTACGCTGTATATACCAGTTTGAGATATTCGATAGTTTCCTAGGTTGTTTATTTTTTTACTTTATTAATTTTCGCTTAATAAGTGTTTTGCCTGACATAATTAACCAATATAATTTTCGTAGTTCAAAAAATAAATGTTTTAATATCAGCTGCACGATTTAAATGATTTATATAGACTACAATGACCTAAATGTTAATCCAGGTCCTGACCAGTTTTATTCAACACACACACACACACACACATGCATATATATATACACGTGATTCATAAATAACAATTAGCAATTAGTTTAGTATATTGTCGCCCCCCCTATTGGTATGTCTGCGAACTTACAACGCTAGAAACCGGGTTTCGCTACCCGTGGTGAGTAGAGCACAGATAGTCCATTGTGGAGCTTTGTGCTTAACATCAAACAAACAAACAAATTGTATATTGTCATGTTACTGCAAACAAAATAGTTTCTTGGTCTAGCTGTAAACCTACTATTGCAGGCAATTTCATAATTTATATTTTATCTTTATTTCATTATTCTAAGTTACATTCTTGGCTGCATCAAGATATATATAAAACATTTAACAGCAATTTATTCACTGTAATCTTACAAGTTTTAAATTTTTATCTAATCATTCCTACAATGATATGGCAAAAATTTAGTTTTCGCTCGTCAGATACGATATTGCGTCATTGCTCTGGATATCCATAATTTATCAAACTAAGTACATCTATATATATAAAACTCAAAATCTCTCTGTTTGTTTGTTTGCTTGCTTGTTTGTCTGCCATGTTCACTGCGCAGGTCGCACTTCCCTCACGTGAAGGTGCGCAAAACGACAATTTTTTGTTCATATACACGTCTATCGTCTGCTAGCAGAACCAGTAATTTTATCGTTAACATATACATTACAAGAATAAATTCTACACAGACTTGACATTTTTTGGTAAGTTTGAGTTAATATTTAATTTAGAATATAGCATTATAGGCTTATTTAATTATAGATCATTAACTGTACATCTACTAATACATCATATGTCTAACCTCACACACACAAAAAAATATATGCAGAATTAGAATGTCGTGTGTGAGAGTACATGAAAGAGAAAGGCTTAAATTTTAATACTTATTGTGCACATTAAAATTAAAGTCAAGTCAGTGTAACTGGTAGAGCACTTGCATGAGGTGGAAGATGGGTTGAACCTGGAAATTGTGTTTTTCTATTACCATTAAAATAGAAAGGCCTATTTATTTATAGATTATCAATTAAACCTCTATTAATACATCATATATTTAACCTCGCATACAAAAGAAATGTATGCATAATTAGAATGTTGTGTGTGAAAAAGCAAACAGTAGGCCTAGCCTATATAATAAAATTATGCCGTCTGCCATACAATAGACTGTGAAAAGACCAAAGCTTACGTTATAATAATTATTGTGTAAAATGAGATTAAAGTCAGGTCAGGGAATGTATTTTATTTTACTTTTTTTCCGGGTGGTTCAACAGCTAGAAGTGGATTTTTTAATACATTATAAAGTACAATATTGCATATTGTTTGTAGTATATTTCATGTCAATGTCATAATATTGAATAGGGTATCACATTCATAAAAATATATTAAATGACGGGGGGGGGGGATAGAGCTAGGCTTATCCTGCTCGCCAGAACGGGTATTCATAGCGAATAAGATAATCTAAATATTCTCCATAAGGGTCTATTTATCCTTTCCAATGACGGAAAAACAAAAAACATAGTTCATAAGGAAGCCCTGATTTAAAACAGGTTTGTAGTAAATTTTCAAAAATCAAACCCAAGGGGTTTTTTTTTTCAATAAATTCACAAAATATTTGTTACCTATCGAAATGTGGAACAGGGAAACAAAGAGAGTATATTTTTGTTGTTTTTCGAAAATCCGGGCAATGTTGCTAGTATGATAATAAAAATATAACTTAATTCACCTTGTCAATAATCATTTGTATAATAATGTGATAGGTCTCTTTATTTATAAGAACCATAAGTGGAAACAGTTCTTTGGGTTTCGGGAACTTCCCGTAAAAGTGTTTTCGCGAAATACCCGAGTTCCCTAAGGGGTTGGGTGATTTTTTTTTACTTTTGTGCAAACCTTGAGACGATTCGTTTGGTACCATTTAAAAATCGGTGCGATCAGCGATTTAGGAGGAGTTAGTGAAACACATACACACTAAATTTAATTGTTGTTTATCTGCTTGTTTGTTCATTTCCGGTAGAAATTATTTCCGAGGAATTTCAGCGACACAAGTCCTTTCTTGATTAAACCAGTTTATTCTTTCTCGATACAACTTTTAGTAATACACAGAATTTCCACAGTCACTTTAAACTTAACAACCTTTACAACACACCCTATAAATCATAGTGATTCACACACTTTACTTACGGTGGCTGCTGTTCGCTTGACTCAATTATCTATATCTTCAATCTATCTGCCGATCGCGCTGGTTTTTCTCGCCAGGCTTATATATTAAAAAGAGGGCGTCTCGAATGCACTCGGACCTTCATGATCCTTCGAGAAACTCCAGCGCGCAGGCTCCCAGCGTCGCGTGACTTCCGCTGTCGTAACATTATTTTTAGGAGACGTAATAGAGTATAAGTAAACGCTGGAGATTCTGCAGCTCTCTTTCTTTCGTAGCTTTTAACTTATGAACGACATTACAGTAATACTAACCTATACATCGATTTATTTAAAGGATTTTATGTAAAAACGTTAAACTTTAAATTAGGTTTTAAATCATCTGTT